CTTTTTTGGGTGTTTTTGCCTTTTTGACCTTCTTGACTTTCTTTGGCTTCTCCTCTTTTCCCACACGGAAACTGCCAGATGCCCCCGTTCCTTTGGACTGAGCGAGTCCTCCTTTCTTAACACCAGCTCGTAGAGCCATTTTCAGATGGGCGTTAACGGCTGGGCCAGCCTCGAGTCCTTTGTAGTTGGCCAGGATGTACTTCAGAATAGCTTGGCGAGATGAACCACCTCGTTCCTTGAGAGCAGTGACGGCCTCTCTAATCATCTGGCTATACTTGGGATGTGCCGATGGCTTCTTTGGCTTCGCTGTCTTCTTCTTGGATGCTGCTACGTCTGCCATTTTTCAGTTAATCGTCTTAGAACTTGTACGTAAGAGATACTTCGTTAATATAAAGGCTAACGCTTCTATTTTTGTTTATATGGGAATCGCGCGGACGTCAGAGAACTATATTCCGGTTATTGCGATGGAATGTCAAAATGGCTGCGTTAATTTCGAATTTGTGTTTGTTGCCTATTTCTAAACGCTTAAAAGTTGTCGATAACCTTGTTTAATTAAGAAATGAAAGGTGCCATCAGAAACTTGGTATTCTGAATTAATATTTCCGTCTAATACAAAACAAGTGTTTTTTACAGATAACATGAAAAGAAGTCAAATGATCAACGTGAAAAAACAAATGTTTTTGATTCAAACAAAAATATCTCTTTATTTCTTCATACGCATTTATATTTCCATACGTAAATAAGAAAGAACATATATTCAGCTTTAATTTGATATCCCACAATAAATGGTTCTGTGTACTTGAAGTGTACAACGTTGCAATTTCATCGCACACACAAACACATCATTTTTACATCACGCCATTTTTGCCAACTCGTATTCATTTCAGTATAAAATCGTGTTTCGTGATATAAATTAAAAAGTCTATCAACATACAATGGAATACATTGTTTAAGGTAGCATCGAAGCATGTTTGTATTATGTTTTAAAACATAGTCAAATAAAAGTAAAATCGTGTTTATTCATGGAAAAGAGGAGTATAGATTCAGGAGTATAGATTGTTATCGTGCTTAAGACTGTCCCGGTAATGGGTATGAGATGTTTAGGTTCAACATAAAATGATGTTTTTCATTGATCGCTATGATTCATTTATAAAAAATATGTTATCTGGTAATAAAAATAAGAAAGAACATTTGTAAATTTGGGAGACTTCGACAATTATTTTGATAATACAATCTGATCAAAGGAATTCGGACGCCATTTTGAATTCATTATAATATCGAATTGTCGATTAATAGCCTTTGTCTTGTATTTTTATGACTTCTCTTGATGAATGCAAAAACAGAAGATACAATTCGTTCAGTTGCACTGTGTTGAGTTGCTATTTTACATTTTATTCAATGTATTTTCAAGTTTGTTTATCATGTTTATTGCCTGGGTTTCACTTGACATTTGACACAGCTTGCACATAAACAAACCGGTCTAAGGTCATGGTGTTTTCCTGAATAAAGTATGTTTACCGCTCGATGAATCACTTTGTACGAGATCCTCCACTTTATATTTCTATGCCCTCGCGCAGTTATTTCTGTTATGGAATGGGGCGGGGGAGAGGTAATACATCGTCAACATTTAGCCTAATCGGGACACTAAAATTAGTAGTTTTGCACTGCACCAGGCTTTTTATACTCCTCATCGCATTTACAAACTTCTCAAAATATGGACCCATTTGTAAATATGAGGCCTATTAAAAAAACGCGGTCTCCCTTTGAAAAGGAGCCCACTAAATCCCCATTTTTATTTCTGCAGTTCATTTGATGTTGAATATAACATTTTGAAAGCAACAAACGTAAATGTTAATTGCTACTCAATTAGAGCTCTTCAAATGTCGAGGTTTATGCGACATACAACATTGTAGCTAAAAAGTATAAAATTGTAGATTAACATTGCGACATAATACTGAAGAAAGAACGTTTACAAATTAACAAAATAAATCTAATCAAACATTAGTTTATTTTTTTCTGATTAAGCCATAGTCATCAATGACAATAATTGGATATACATTTACTATCATTGTTGCTAAGTAACAAGATGTAAACAGGAAGTAAGGCTGCTAAACTAGAGAAAGTTGCATTGGGTATAGAAGCTCAAATAGAACGACAAATATAATACAGTACAGGTAAGTTTGGGTATACTAGAACTTTAGATCCATTCATTGATAACTGAACTGTAGAAATATAATATTACTCTACTATTATGATCATGTAAGACTTATAAAAATATTTTTATTTGGTTCATTGTATTTTCATCTAGGCTCCAGAAAGCTCAAACCAAACAAGTAGAAAAATGACCCATGTATAGTACAGTTTATGTTATAGTCAGATCTGAGACGTTCACAAGAACATATCATACTGTATGAGATCTATGGGTTTTGTAAACCTATGCTTTATGCATTATCTCTATGCAGAACAAACTCATACTGATCACAATTATTTTTCAGTATGGCAGGAATAAATATGCACAATGAGGCAAGGCGAGTAGAAACAGTTCATTTGAGAAAGGCTTGGCTGCAAAAACAACAAGAGGTTGGTAACATGAATATTTAATAAATAAATTCTTGATATGTGTACTGTACATGATCCATCCAATTCCTTCTGCTCCATACTTACTTACATGTATTTCCAAGGCTCTTCACAAATACAGGCTAAGTAACCACATACACATAATAGATCATTTCCACTATGTTACAAATGTGTATCTTAATTTTAGAGAGCATATGCAGAAAAATCTGCCCAAAATGAAAGTGAAATGGGAATGCTTGCAAATGGCCAAAGACCACCATCTACTTATGAAAAACAACTCGGAGTGATGAGAGGGGACACTCCGCAGAATATGAGGGATACAGACAGTGCTAGGCGGGAGGCTCTAAGGAGGCAACAGACAGTAGACTATTCTGCCAAGGTTCCAAATAGATTTAGTGTAAGTTAATAAAATACAAATATCTTATCCAACTTTTCATCGTTTTCACGCTGAATGACACAGTGACAGGCAATTTGTACTTGAATGAGCTCCTATATGTATGTACAATGCATTTCATTTTTGTAAGGAGAAACAGTTCACATATATGTAGTTATAATCATTATGTACACATTGCAAGTACAATTATTAAGTATCAACATATTTTTTTCAATTATTATACTAGTATCAGATATATTATCTCTGTCACCCTGATTTGTCTTACTTGACTTGTATTTGTTTATCTCACAACATACAACTGTACATTCATGGTTTTCATCTTTTTTTTCAGTCAATAGATTATAAAAGTCAATGGTGATGAACAGACAGATGGTCAATTTTGGATGGATTAATCTTCAAACTGTATAAGGAAACCAGCAATGAAAACTGACTGATATCCCAAACTAAAAGTCAGGGACTTAGGGAGTTCCTTAATGTAAACACATAAATGCATCTCCTTCAATAATAACTATACACAATTTGTCACTCTCCTGTATATGGATTAACCAGTCCTGAACATGATATATTTTCACTAAAATGGTGAAGTTGATGTAATACTAGCAGATGTCATGAATATATCAAAATGACAAAGGAGACAGAATTTCAGTATTACCACTGGTATTATTCATTCATTAAAGGCAGAATCAGATCTATAGGGGGTGACAAAATTACAAGCAACTTTTATAATTGACCTACCAATCTATTCCTTACAATATCAAATACAATATCTCCCAAAAGATTCACAATATGTTATAAATTGGTGAAGTTCTTAATAATTCAAAGTGCAAAAAAGGGTGGAAAATGTTTATATTCTCCCAAATAATAAGAATGTTTACCATTCTTATAGAAAAATAATACATTCTTGTAAAAATCTTTAGTTTTCCTTGAATAAAGTATGCACTTTTGTGATTTTTAGAAAATAGACATGACAAGGAATGACATGAGCCAAAAATATTCTAAAATTGAGACAATTTTTTGTTTAGCCTGCTTGCTGTATCTGATTCTCTCTTTAAGTACAGTTTTAACTAAACTTTGTTGACTAAATATAATATAATGCATAGTTTATACCTCAACATATTTTATACTAACTATACCATGGAAATTTTCACGGGACTCCTGATTCCAGAGAAAGGTCACATATACAGACTTGTTTTGTGCAGGTTAGGTCTACATACAGTGTACATGTATCTCATATACTGTATGTGGTTTATGAGTCTATTCTTAGTTGAAGACTATTTAAGTCTTTTGCAGTATTTACAGTATTTGTAGTTTTATGCATGTAATTGCATTCTTTGTATAAAATTCATCATCACCATTTTCATATCATATATATAGTAGTACAGTAGTAATAGTAAAAATCATATCATATGTATAATACTTCACCCTTTAGGTAAGACAAGTAGAATCAACAAGTAGTAAGACAAGTAGAATCTTTTTTTCAATATGATTAGTATTCAACTCAAAAATCAAGATTTGTAAATTATATTTCTTTGAATAACATAGGGTACTTTTAAAAGGCAACATTTACATTTTGTTTATTTTAATTCAAGTTTGACATTTAAGAAATTAGAATTGAAATAGTATGTAGAGTAAAGTTATATATGATATAATAGCAACAACTTTGGCAAGTTGGTTTGAATAGTAACACAGAAAATTCAATTCATTTTGCAATTTGCAATGTCTTTATTAATTCTTACTGCTGCATATACAGTATTCAAACTTTGCACATGCATGCAAGTGTATGTTGTACCAGATTATTATTATGTACATAAATCAATAAATTAGCAAATAAATATGTATAACATTTTACTACTTAAATTATGCTACTTTCTGTATTGCTTATATGGCATGAATAGGAACCCTTGTAGACTATAGATTGTATAACAAATATGTGTTCTGTCACCAGTTTTACTTTGGCACCCACTACATGTTGGTGACTGCATCTTTCCTTGACAAATTGATGCCTTCCAAGGAAAAGAGTATTTTCCCATGCACATTTTTGTCATTTCCCAGAGATTAAGGTCTTGGACTATCTTGGTCTAAATTGCAATTCTTCTTTATAAGTGCCATAGTAACTCTGTTCACAGTATGTATATTATGAATGAAATAACTCAATATTCAAATCACAATACTATTAATATTTATAGGATATCCTATGATTTTGAGGAATATCATTTTTATCTACGAGGTGATATTGATATCTGCACAAGAGAGCAAAGCGAACGAGTGCATATATCAATATCACCAAGTAGATTAAAATGATATTCTGAAAAAAACATAGGATGTTCTTATTATCCTACATTTACAAGGAGTGTACTAAATGTACATGTATAATATCATTGCAAAATGAATTTCATGCCAAATAGAGTCAATTTGGCGGGAAATCAACCGCATATTGGGTTTTCCGGAGTATATCGTCCTCCGCCTGGAGTATATCATCACGATATCCTCCGGTTATTCATTTTGCCAATAAATATCAAATTTATTTTTTGATGTTATTATACATTTAGCACACTAAGTGTAGGATAAACTAATATATTAACAAAAAGCAGTTCAGAAATATGGACCTACAGTGTATGACAAAGAAATCCAATTATGAAAGGGGCTCAATGGCTAAATCTAAAATAATCTAGCACTTGTATGAAATTGTTTAGGTACTAATTGAGCAAATCTACTATTGAAAACGTCTATCCACCTCTGATAATTTGCACCTGTCAAGTTTTTTTATTTACAGAAAATAAGCTTTGTATCAAAATATTTTGATTGTTCAAATCATTCTCAATTATTCAGATTTATTTAAAGTCTCCGTCCAAAGTTTGAAAATATTTTTTTATCATTCATTTACTATTTGTCAGGACTTAAAAAGTGATTTTAGAGATTTGTGAACAAAAAAAATTTTTGAAAAAAAGTTGTGAGCATTTCATTTCTCAAATATTCAAATTTCCCGCCATTTTTCAAAAAAAGTTGAAATTTCTTAATCATCAAATATTTCTTAATGCATTTCAAAAAAGATTATCTTTTTAACACCAATGCAAAGGTTGAACAAAGGACACACTATTTCAATAATGAAATGCCATATTTAATGGGCCACTTCAATGTTTTAGCATATCAAAAATATTTTGAAACATTAGTGATGTCACTAAGGTACCAAAAACTTTTTGAAAAAAATTGAATTTTTATTTTCGATGTCAATCTTTTCTAAATATGTTAGACTTTCATAAAAAACCAATGTAGATTGTCTAACCAGGTTAAAAGGAAGAATAAATTATGTTTTAGATATCATTGTACCATTGGTTTCTATGAGAACTAAAATTTTGAAATGCATTTTTCTCAGAACCATTTTCATACACTGATAAGTTCATTTCTTGCTTATTTATGAACCCATTTTCTTAATTTTTTTGGCAAAAAACACGGGAGGATGAATGCTATGCATTGGTATGAATTGTGGCTAATTAGAAGATATGAGTGACCTCTAAAAGTTGGTTTTAAATAAATTCACAAATTTTGGAACAAAAAGTCTATCAAAAACCACTTTTTGAAATTTAAAAAAAAAGTTTCACATATCACACTTTGATAACATTGGTTAAGACTACAATATAAGCCAAAGTGGTTTAAACTTTATATGGGGCCTTTAAAGTGGTATATGACGTCAGAGTTAGAGACTTAGCCCCTTTGAGAAAAAGGTTATTACAAGCAGATTTTCATTCAGTAAAGTATAGCTCTAATTATAAAATCTGTAAAATCAACTTCTAAACCAGATAACATATTCAATTAGATTTTGAGAAACTTTTTTGTTTGAGGGTATGTTGAAGTCTTGCGATGTTATCATCTAATTGTTTAAGTCCATCTCTAAACATCCTATCATCCACTGATATAACACTTGAGATGGTACTTTCAGACACAACGGAGGTCTCACTATTAATTGTACTCATTGAGACATCACAGAGTCCTTTCCCAAATGTGTTAATTTGACCTGCGCCTCTTGTACCATGACTGGACATACTAATCCATGGTGTAGCATTTAGACTATTCATACCAGGCTCTATAGCACCACTTGGGCCAGGCATACTAGAGCCTGACACACCATGTAGATAAGACTCACCAATCATTGCTCCCTTTGTATTCATATTAGCTGGATATTTTCTAAAATAATCTGTGATACTATAGCGATTTAACTGGCTCTCATTTTTCAAAGTTTCATCTGGTGCTTTCAAAGGACTACTACTCTTAGGTCTCTGCAGTACATTTCTTGACTCAACTAAGTTTTCCTTGTCCATATCAATTAGGTCTAACGCCTCATGCAATTGTGAGTTATGTGATCTAGGATTGGTAGAGTTTACTCTGCCTGTACTGTGTGCCATATTATTTGTAGCATATGTTTGAAATCTGACTGTCTTGCCAGAGGACTGAGGTAGGTTCATTGTAGAGGTAAGAGGCGTGGCTTGAATGGGAGGCCTTGTTTGAGGAACTGTGGCTTGTCTAGTCCCAAATATTGGTCGGTTATCTTCTGCGCTGCGAGTTGCTCTCACGGTTCTGAAAAGGATTGTATTGACACAAGTTAAATCATTTTTTGGTACAATGACTCGTGAAGTATGTAAAAAATGCTTTTCTTTTTATTCTCCAAATATTCTCTGTAATAGGAGAAAGGTGTAGGGAGGAAATTATGGAAATCCGATTGAACATTTAGTGGAACCATCTCTATATAGATTGCAATTGTAAATAAGACACAAAGTGATAATAAAACCTAATCAGCTATTGGTACTAATTCGGTCTTGAATCTGCTAGCTCGACCAGCAGCACAAGACAACAATATCGCACATTCTCAAAGTGCAACAAAAATGAAGAGCTAACATTGTTTACTTTTATACATACAATGTATATACATTATATATAGTGAATTTCCTCATGACATTTTACTAGATTTAATATGCTATTAATGTAACTTTAACTTAATACCTGTTAGGGACTGCATTTGTTGTTAACAGTTGGTTCATTCTCTGTAAAGATAGTGGTTCAGTCCAGGCTGTTCCCTCCAAGTCCCTTACAAGTCCTGACATACTAGACTGGAGACCACTAAAATATAATACATATCTACTACAACACAGCAATATAAAAATAAAATGACAAGAAATACAGCTTCATTACATTTCAGCAATGTTAACTTAAACGATTAATTGCCAAACTGTGAGCCAGTATGAGTAAAAATCTCCAGCTATGATTTACAGATAAATGTACAAGGTTTGTGAAAAACATAAACATTAAAACATGTGTGACGAGAACACCCTTGGTACTCAAAAATAGTGTTCTACTTGGGAGATGTTCCACTTACAGAGACTCATATCACTATAGTTAACTGGGAATCAAAATTTGGAAATGTGTTCCACATATAGAGTTTCCACTTTTGGCGGTGTTCCACTTTACAGGTTTTACTGTATTTACCAGACTAAATTCTGCAATCTGTTGATCTCTGCATCTTTCTGCTGCAGTGCTGATGCTGCCATATGGCTCTCCTGTTGGAAGTGCTCTGCTTGGAGTTTTAGTTGTTGTAACTGTTGCTTACATACATCTACTTCTCCCTGCATGTGCAACTCTGCCTTAGATCTCTCATCAGTCACTTTGTGCTGGTCTACATTCTAAACAAGATGCATTCTATTAATTTCAGACACAATTTTGGGAAATTCTTGTTGAAACCTTCTCTTGGCAATGACTGCCATGTTCCCCAAACAAACTAGTCTCAATAATAAGAATATTTTCAATATCCCATATGAGGATTCGGTAAATCATGACATGGTAATATGGATTTAGAGTTAAGATAAGCCATTATGATTGCCCTTATTGTATCACATTACATGTTCATTACATTATTGTTTATTGTAGCAAGTGTGGACCACTCAGCACTTTCTTTCTTCATCCATTCCACCATTTTTATCTGAATGGAGTTGAACCCAACCCTGGACTTCATGTAACAGATATGGGATGCTGTCACAGAGTCACTTGAGCAGGCATTACTTTTGGAAAACATACCTTTTGGTGAAGCACTTCCAGCATTTCCTGCCGTTCTTTGGTCAGTTTCTCAATTGATGCTGTCATGTCTTTGTTCATTGCTTGCCTCGCCTCCTTCTCAAAGTCTAATTCCTTCTTTAACTGTGAATTCGTCAGCTGCAGGTGGACCACTACAAACATTGACATCATTGACAAACACTGACATCATTCTAGAATATTTTAGTGACACTTGTACCCCTTTCTTGGCCAAGCAGAATTTTGGCTGGGGAAATATTGTGAGTGGATTGGAGACTTGACGCTAGAGTTCATTTAGAATAGCAACGAGAATGTAATCCAAAAGCTTCATTATAATTAATGTAATTATCAAAAGTTGCTACAAGGTGGTTTGAACATGGCCAGATTGGCTTATATTTTCACCTTGTATTTCATATCGAATATTGACTTTGTATTATGTAATAGATGAACTATTTTTAAGAAATTCCATACAAAAATGCATTTACTGCAAGTAATTATGAATTAAATACAGCCTTAATCAAGTACTTTTGATGTTTAATTAAGGTATTACTACATGAAGTACCCACATTGAAACTCATTGTCTATCTCAACATCTTGCTGTTTGCTCTCTAATATCAGTTGCTGCTCCTTCACTTGTTGATTGAGTAGTCTCACCTTTCTGAATGGCAGACAAGAGAACAGATTACATTGTATATAGGTTACAAAGTTATATAACTATGCCGTGAAATATGTCAGACAATTTGAAACACATTTAACTATACTACATGCTCTTGGGTTAATATTTTGATATTGCCACAAAATATAACAAGGCATTAACATGACAGAATGTCACCACCTAGTTGCTCACAATATAATAAGTCAAATTTGAATTTCTGAGAACTCTGTAGATGATTTTGAAAAGAAAGTCAGTCTAAACCATAACAATATGTCACCACTTCTTGGTGGTGACATAATAATTACACAACACAACAGTTTAGATTTGACCTCAAAAATGAAATTGATGAGATAATAATCTTTATCAAATTATTCAAATTGAAAGCTGTTTAACCATTAAGTAAAATTTTCAATTCCACCTCAAAAATGAAATTGATGATATAACAATCTTTATCAAATTATTCAAATTGAAAGCTGTTTCCTTTAAAAATCCATGTGTATTAACGATAATAGAAAAGACTTATTCTAAACTAATAATTTCCAGGTTTAATGATATTATACTACATATCTACAGTTCTCGGCAAAAATTAAAAAGAAGTAAACTTTTTGCAGAAGGAAAACTATATATTTGAAAAAACATTGGTTATTTATTAAGCTCATAACTCTATACCCTGAATTTATCATTTACCTTCTAAGGGTTGCATTCTCACTCCTGAGAGGCTGTAGGGCTAGATCTAGTTCAATCTGATGACTATGTGAGGTCAGCTGTGTAATGGCTCTGTCCAGCTCATTTGTAAGTCGATTTACCTCTAAGTCATCTGCAATACATAAATTAAGTGTTTAAAGGGAAAACATTTCATGTCATTCTTATACATTCTAAAAGGTCAACAGAATTTGTTTCAAGACAATTCTACTTTTAAGGTTATTTGGCAACAATTTTTTATTTGAATTATTTGTAGTTAGAAACAGTACAATAGTTGCACCTACTGTTAATATTTGCTAATGCTTTCAGTTCCTTTATAAGGTGTTTGGCAGTCTTTGTTACAGCAACAGCTGAGGATGATGGGTAAGGAATAACCTCCTCTGTTTCTACATCAACTTGTCCTTCTGATTTTCTTGAATTAACTCGTTGACTTCTTTCAGGACTGAAGTGTTCAGGAGATTTTGGCCTTCTAGGACTATGATTCCTTTGTGGACTATTAGATTTCCTAGATTCATTAAGTGACGCGGGCATGCTGTATAAATGTAATGATTCACTATATTCCTCTCTTTCTTTAGCTCTTTCCCTTCTAGGGCTGGTATGTGATAGCAACTGTTGATTTTCTTCATAATTTTGATTACTATCAGTACCATATGTACGACCTCTGTATACCAAAGTTGGTTCATGAGCAGAAGAATTATTTCGGGAATTGTCCCTGGGAATTTCAGTTGAGGTAGCTAAGTGATCTAATATGGATCTTTCAGTTTGTGTCCAAATCCGAGGATTTTCAGTTTTTGTTTTATTTGGTAAAGAAGCGTATTCTATACTACTGACATTAAAGCTTGAGTCAGGGTTACTAGGGCCGATAGGTTGACGTCCTGCAGTCATTTCTGGCTTCAATATAGACCTAGGTGCAGCAAATTTGGATAATGATTCAGGGATTGGGTTTTGAATATTTTGATTGTCATGAGACACCAACATAGCAGATAAAGGCCTAGGGAAAGATCTCTCGTGTTGAGATTTATCCTGGGTTTTCTGAAATTGTCCTGTGCCATCCGAGTCACTATAGATGGAAAACATACCCTCGACTTGTGTTGGGAGGGCATGTTTGTCCTGCTGTAGGGCATAATACTGCTGCTCTAACTTCTGTATTTGTGACAAAGGTGAACTGGAATAAAAAACGTAGCTCAACATTCAATAGATGGTCGGAATATTGAAATTCAAAATATTTTCTCCTTCACCAAGATGCATCAATTGCAGGCAATGTCATGTGACCAGCATTGAAGTTAAATTCTAGATGAAATTCTTACATTTCCCAGGGTTCTGGGGTAGAAGACACCAAACGCTGATTAAAAGCAGTCTTCTGTGGATCAGTTTTCTGGGGTGCGGCTCTATATGGCTGCATTGGGCGGGAACTTACATCAAATCTGCTCTTCTGTGCACCACCTACAAACAAGATTATGTGTGTGGTTGTAAAGTTGTGCTCAGTATTCAATAAGACATGGACAGCCATATTAGATATTACCCACAATGCAGTCTTGTTTATTTTCGTTCAGTACAATAGGATCAATAGTTAGACCTGGGAACATTTCAAAATGAACAATCAAATAGGAAATAGCACAATATTGTTACAGTGTTCAACAAATTATATGGAATAAATTGAACGAAAAGATGTCAGCATGTTGCTTTGTGGAACTCTTTATGAGAAGATATACTACAAAACTGTGATAGGCAAACTTTGAATAATGACCAAAGCAGTACTGTACCTCCATCTTTATCTAGCATATTGGAAAGCAGTTTGGCACATCCATCTAAATTCTTGTTAGGATTTATAACTTTCTTCCCTGGTTTTACAGGCACATGTGCTTTCTTTGTTGTCCTCTTGTTCAAAGTTGACACTCTGGAATTACATTGATTTATTATGAATTATCCCACTGATATTTCCCCTCGACCACCAGCCACAAATAAATTGACCATGAAGTTTGAACAGAACATTATGCTAAAGAAGCCAGATTATATTGTACAATATTACTGCTGTACTATTTAAAATTCTGGTTTAGACCTTTACATGTTTATTGCATGAGAAAGTCCATTAGGGAAACCTCTAAGCAAGCTTTCATGATCCAAAATGTAATTATCATGAATAATAAATTATGTATTTCTTAGCATATAGAATATTCTATAAACTCATTTTGTGTGACATGATATTGTTTCAGAGGAATGTAAATGATCAAACCTAATTCCTAAATGTAAAATGCAGTAATCAGAGTAAATTTGCATAATTTTAAAGTGTGAGATAAAGCTATGCTTACCTGTTGCCTGGGACTGCAGATGACTTTAATTTCTTTGTAATATCACTTTGTCCCCCAGATATCAGTGACTGCAAAATGTAAATGCAACATATCAAACTATTTTATCAAAATATTTCAAACTGACTGTTCAAATCAAATCAGTGATTCACTTTGACACAAGCCTCTTGTCTCATTTGCATTCATACTTAATCATCATAACATTCATTACAATCATTATTATCATACATTTCCAAAAATCCAAGATCCAATCTTTTCTTGTATTTTCATGATTTTAGAGTTTTCTTGCATCATTACATGTTTCTGTCTCTTGAACTTCAAATTTAGGGTATGTAGATCTAAAGATATCATAGGTTAAAGGACAGCCAACATCAAGATGGCAGTGGCATTGTTCATAGATTATATTTCTCTTTTTCATATAAATAGAATGATTGCACTGTAAGTGTCATCTTTATTGTTAAAAGATTGCCCTTCCATATGGGTCAACTTTTTCTTTAATCTAGAAGGCTTGATACTCTAAAGTGTTGTGACTCTTGAAAGCCCATAATGAAATAGAGCTTTACTTGGTTCAGATTTAGAAAAGTTACAAGATTTTATGCTGACAAGTAAGTAAATGGAAGGAACAGTGCCATATTTTTTCCTGTGTACATGTAGGTCTCTGTTGAAGGATGAGAAACAAAATTTACTTAAAATAATATTTCAAATTTAATATAAAGTGAGTAGATTAATAAATATGAAGTGTCATCCCTACAAGGGTCAATGGCCATTCCCTTATAAAAAACAACCATTTTTTCCGAAATTCAATGGTTTCATTGCATATCATGTAACCATCATTTCAACCTTGAAGATTTTTTTTTTTTTATAGTATAAACTTTATTGAAGTAAAGTCAATACATTTTCGGCCACCAATCGCCATATTGGCATTATAGGTTGGCCATCACTTACATGTAAAAAATTAAGTATAGTATTTAGCTGTTTGAGGACGACTGTGCATCGAAGGGTATCCCAGGGACCAGAGGGGTTTGTGCCAAGTAGATGTGTAAAAAACAAGATAAATATATTATGAGTTCTCCAGGGCTTAGATGAGACCTCTTTGCTATGTCTTGTTGTCATGGAGACAATTGCTGACGATGATAAGAAGTCTACTTAGTTCTGCTAAGGATAATGTCTTGTCACCATATAAGAGAAAATTAAGTTTATCATCCATGTTTGTTAGTTGGCTGATCTTATTATAAAAATTATTGTTGACCTCTTCCATCAGGGCATGCCTATTAATTTGGCATAGAGGACACTTGAAAAACATATGTTTTAGTGTTTCAGGTTTGCCGCAAGAACAATGAGCCGAGTCTATAAAAGTAAATTGGTGTGCAAAAAGTCTTGCTTTCAATAATAAGTCAACACGAGCTCTGTTGAGAGTGATTTCTTGAGACCTTGTTAAATTAATCAGGGACGTTGAACTGATTATTCTCTTGGGCAGATAGTGTTTATTACTTTCTTTTTTGAATGATCGTAGGGAAAATTTTAAGGCATATTCTAAAAGAGGTTTAGGTAACTTGTTCCACAGTGATATTGCATTAGGAATAGGGGATTTAATAAATTGGGCAGTTGACCTTATAGGAATTTTAGGAACACCTTTCCATAAAGTCGGCAAAAAATCGATAAATGGGCGGGGCAACCTGTCAATCATTATAGCAGTGACGTCACTCGCGGACTTTTTTGAATGATTTACTCATCTAATTTGGCACTTGACAGTGATCATTGAGGTACGCACGGGGATAAATCTTGTTGACTATACAAAATGGAGAGTTGCATTTTATACTTATCTTTTCTTTTCTTTATAATATCAAGGGTCTCACCTGTATTGTTTTATTTCAAAACAATCCATTCAGATCACCTATCAGATGCAAATAAGTCCTGATTGATTGAAATTTTCCTCTCCGAGATTTCAGTCTTTCAAAACTGCCATCCAGTCTAAGCTTAGGCTAGACTACTGATGATAGAAGTGTACATCAACAAACAACTATTCCTGTTGTATTTTCACTACCTTTCATAAGCAAACAGCATCAAATACTAGCCAATATCTTTGAATGAGAATATTGCACATCTTGTGTCAGTGTGTTGTATTTAGGTTAGAGGTTGTCGTTCAAAGCGGGGTTCAAAGTTCAACTTTAGTTCACCGGCAAGCTGGCTAACAAGTCATGCTGACATACAAGATTTACTGTAATCCCTTTTACTTTTCTCAATGTTTATTTTAGCAATTTAAAATTTTTATCGATCTAATTGGAATTCATTTATTGTGGCAGTCAACATTAGGCCTATTAGGATATAAATCTGTCATACAAAACATCGTTCCACGGATGTTGAAAACGAAGAAATATAAAGCTTTATATCTGTTTTTTAGGATTCTATGAAAGAACAAACGGTATGTGACTGTGAAAAACTGACCATCTCAGATGTGGATGGGTCCACATTTGATGGGCCCATCAATAAACTGAAAAAGACAGAATGTATTAAGTGGCTGTTGTGTCGAAATATAAAACCTCACCACAAATCGTCTGTTTACGTATAATCAATTTTGTTCAGTTTTGATTAGTTGTCAGAATGAAGTTACAGTTAGTTCATCTGAATCCATGTTTCAAAACAAAAATCATATTTTCTTCACTTCAAAATACTTCATTGAGATGAATGCTCGGAATTGTCGTTTGCAATAACTTATTGTCGTATTCGTTCTTTTATCTACTCGATAGAAGCATTTAGTCGTACATTTGATGCCAGGTCACCTTCTCGCGTACCTATTTGGGAGCCCCACATTTGTGTCTGTACTCATGGAAGTAAATTCTCCGGTGTAGCCGAGAGCCACAAACTTTCAACAGGTTCGAAATGGCCAATTTCTCTCATATATACTCATATTTTATTTATAATTATCACCTACAAAGTATTGCTAATAACTATATGTAATTTCAATAAGGAAACTTATCTGGCTACATGTAAATTCAATATCAACACTAGATGTTCGCTCAACACGTCCTGGCTTACCTTGTGATGACAAACCCTGGGTTTTCGCTATTTATAGTTTATCAACACCTAGACGCATGCGCATTTTATAGTTTATCAGGCACTTTAAACTGCAACAGACCAAGGAAAAACAAACCATCCCAGACTGTAACTAGCCACTTTTGTTTCATCCCCTCTGGAATTTGGACATATGTTACATATTTGCCCATAGCGACAGTGTTACCATGGCTGTTGCACTTTGGAACTATGCAATGTGTGTGGATAATTTTTTTAGAGTCCCGACTCTTATTTTGAAATCTAGTGACATGGTACCTGTGGTAAGCTTGTGGGCCAAATCCAATCTCAGCCTGGAAAAAATAAATCATTTTTCATCGTTTATATTCATTGATAAAAATCCAACAAACATAAACACGATTTACAGTAGATGTTTTCGGTTTGGGCAAAGAAAAATAAAACTAGATGCCGGAGCCATAATAAACGGATCATCATATTCATTGATAAAATATGGTTCAATAAAAATAGCAAGATTTACAGTAGTAGGTTTATGAGTAAGAGCGAAGACCCCATAAACTCATAGGCTTTGGCTAGGATGAAGATGGCTTTGGGATGATCAATAAACATGCATAAGTGTCAAATTGTAGATAGTATTTGAGCTTATTATTAATCACAGCTTTTAATAATAATTGTAAAAACTTACGACAACTAGACAAAATGGAATTGTATTTCAAAATATTACAATAAACATTGCACAATCTCTGCAGGATATTCGGATCTGTCATAAGGGGTCTTATGAGCAAAGGCAAAATGGCTTAACATTTTTGAGAATTGCCGGACATATAAATGAGAACTCTGTTTGAATATTTAGTTGGAACATACCTATTAAATGACATTGGTACATGGGAGTTTGATTATTCATAGAATATAATGATAACTTACCATGATCAGCAGAATATAAGTGACACTGAAACCGGCACTGAAAAAGGTAAGTCTGTTATGTACTTTCAGATTTTGATTTTCCCGCTGTACTATGCAGGACAAGACTCCGCGAGTGACGTCACTGCTGTATTCAGCGGCCTTATGAATATTCATGACGTGACTTTATGGAAAGGTGTATACCTCTGTATTGCTTGTTCTTCTGGTAGCTGGATTTTTGAATTCTTCAAATATTGAAGATACATAGGAAGGTACCTGGTTTCTGATTACTTTGTGCATGAAGTTAAGAATGTGTTGTTCCCTCCTTTGGGATAGTGTGCACCAGTTTAAGACCCCCATAACTTTACCTGTATCAGAGCCATGGAGACACCCAGAACACAATAATGCAGCCTGATAATGTAACTTGCTAGGGATATTGATCAGTACTTGAGTTGATGAATGATAAAGAATGTCTGCGTAATCAAAATGAGGCCTTATGAATGAGTTGTACATTGTCTCCAAATGTTTCGAGTTAATTTTTGATGTAAGTGCCTTCAATGGATTAAGCAGTTTTTGTACTCTCTTGACAATGTCATATATATGATTTTTGTTAGAAAGAAGATAATCAAAAGTATAACCTAGATGCTTATGAAGATTATTCCTTTTAATTTCCCCATTTCCAAGTTTGGCTAAAGGTGGCAGAGTAGGAAATACACAGCGCTGGCTTTGAAAGATAACTTCCTCTGTTTTTTCATTCTTGAAATCTAGTTTCCATTTTTGAGACCAGTTAGTTATGATATTAAGATCATGATTGATAGTATGCATGTCAGGATCAGATGGATCGAAGGGGTAATATAGTGATGTGTCATCAGCGTAGATAAATGCCTTTCCCAAAAGATCATCGGGTAAGTCATTTATATAAATCAAAAATAAAATTGGACCTAGGATGGATCCCTGAGGGACACCGCAGTTGATATAGTTTGCAGAAGAAGTATCCGATGATTGACCACCTACATTTACGTTGACTTTACGATTTGTCAAATATGATTGGAGAATTTGATAAAATTGGCCTTCAATGCCATATGCTTTCAGTTTTGCAAGCATCAACTTATGAGGAACACGATCAAAAGCAGAGCTAATGTCT